AATGAAACAGGTTACGTTACCATTTTAATTGAAAGGAAATAAAAGAAAACGCAAGGGAAATTTAAAAACTATTAATGACTTAGAAATTTATTTTTTATTAAAAATAAACTGTACGAAAATAACGAACAAGATAATTAATGACAAGATTATTTCAGCTGCTGATCTAAAATCGGCAACGTGCTGCAACTGTAACAGGACCTACAAGCACAAAAGAAATCTTTGGAGGCACCAGAAATACGAATGTGGGGTGCAACCTACCCTCCAGTGTGACATATGTGGAAGAAATTTCAGATATAAATGCCATTTGCAAGTGCACAGGAATCTACATTTGTCTAAAACATGTTAAATGTCTTTCTTTGTACCTATCTATATGTTGCATTAAAGTTTATGATGTTGAAATAGATTTTTGTATCCTTTCCCTGACGAAAACCAACTTCTAACATCATTGAATTAAAATTATAAAAGGTTTGGTTTGGTAAGAGTACATTTTTTTGTATAATTTTAAGGTTCATAAGACCGTCTCAGTAAATGAACCGACATAGGCCAAGTACTTGTAAGGGGTCCCTAAAATATAGTATTTCCACTCAACTTAGTTCTGTACCAAGCGTCTTCGTGACGTTAATATTTACAAAAAATATATATTTTTTTGTGATTGTGCTTGTGTACAGATGCTACAAATAATTGTACCTTAAAGAACTCAAAATAATGCTTTGTCCTGGGAGTAATATACCTTTTCCATTGACTTACTGTACGAAAATTCTGACTAAAATTCATTCATTTGTAGATTGTAATATGTTCATTTTAATTATTGTAGTTCGTTGGCACTGCAGCCAGTGTGGGAGGTCCTACAAGTGGAAAACGGCCCTCCAAAGGCACCAGAAGTTCGAGTGTGGCAAAGATCCAGGATTTTGCTGCCCCCTGTGCAACTACAAGAGCTACAGAAGGGAACATCTTAAGTTACACCTTTTGTCCAAGAAGCATCAGCTTCAGAGTGAGGTACTCCACTGAAAGTTTTTGAAAGTACTGGTTCAACTTCGTCCAGAATGTTGAATATTTTTATAGAACTGAACACATTTTAAAATGGGAAAAAGTCGTTTTTTTTCCTACCTACGAATTGTTGGAAAAATATAAATAGATCTAAATATGTACATTTAATTGAAACAAGGTGAAATATTTTCTAGTCTAATATTTACTTTCAGTTTTAAATAAACATATACTTATTTGACGTTTGATCAGATCCAAAACAGCTCTAAAATTTTTTATATTTATTAACACTTTAGCACTTTTTTCCACGCTGTGATACCTATGTCATTTTAAAAATATAAACATTGGACAAAAATCAGGGAGACTGATTTGCAGAAGTCTCTTTTGGTCATGTGTGTGGAAGAAGGATTATAAAAAAATACGTAAGAAATCAAGCTGTGCCCAAATAAACAAAATTACCTCCATCCATAAGAACTCAAAAATATTATGTAATTAATAGGTTCAGTTTATGATTTTTATAATACTCTAAAATAAAACGTGTTTTCTTAATATGTTTTAATAAATGTTTCTTAAAACATTGAGCAGTGTATTTTTTAAGCATAACCTTAAAAATCTTAATGTAAAGTAACTAGAGGTGCTTAGAATTACTGGTTTGTTAAGCAAAAACGAGCAATTTTGGAGTGAGCAATATGCAGAGATGAAAAGCTTGTGGCTTTGTTAGGAGACGGAATAAATTTTGGTAGAGTTTAGAGAATAGAACTTAAACGAGTGCAATAAATTTAAACATATTTAAAAAAAAGTTTAAAAGACTCATAAAAAATAGAGTGGTATATAGGAAATACAAAGATAACGAAATAAAAACTATATTTTGTCAATACATTTACAATTTTGTCTTAATACATTGACAGTATAACTGGATTCAAAACGTCTAACACATTAATATGAACAGTGTATACATTTAAAAATTATCTCTTATAAAAAATAAAACTGCAGAGAACACAGATTGTCAGGGACACAACTTTTAGTTAGATAAACGGTATATTGTGTTCTTTATTTTTAACACAATACAATTTGTGTCTTTGGTATGAATATTTTCCACGGCCTTCGTCTTTAATAAAAACTAAAGAGGAAGAAGCAGAGAGAAGTTTTCTACTTGTTAAATCAAAGAAAATGGTAATTTGTTGTCTCTATTCTATACGTGACATTTCAAAAACGAACGATATCTTATTCATAGTCAGATCATGAGTAAATTGTCTTAATTTGACAGGATTAAACATATTTGGGAAACACATAAACCAAATGAACGATTATCTATAAAAAATTCAAACATTTACTTTATATATCTGCTACATGTGCTTTGTCTTCGATATATGGACTATTAAAATAAAAAAATATTTTTTTTAGCTATAAATGATATCTCAAATTTAACATAATTGTGATACAGTGCCAAAGGCTACAAAATACAGGGTGATTCACAACTCATTTGGGAATAGATGTGTCATGAAAAATAGAGTTAATATCGTAAAAAAATTTTTGTAAAATCCTTATAGTTTCCGAGAAAAAAGTTGTATTATTTTCAACTTACATCGCTAGGCCACTGTAGTATCTAGCGTCATTCATTTTCACGTGGCCCCAAGCGATTCCGAACACTGAAATCTGATTTTAGTATTAACGTTTTTGCGATAGTGTTTACATTAGTTTTTCATGTGTCAAAAATGTCTTACGTGATAGCTATTCGAAGTTGGTGTATATCGTTTTAATTTATGGACGAAATTTGTGTTAGTTCGTAGAAACTGGATAAGACGGGTTCAAATGTGTTTACACGTCGGTGGACAAAATGTTGAACAGCTGATATAATATCAAGTATGTCAAATTATTTTATTAATTAAAACCATAAATTAATTTTATTGATTTTTTTATTTTTTTACAAAATTGTATTTCTAAGTGTCCCCTGTTCAATCAAATTATTTTTTGGATAAGTTCTGGATCACCTTGTATACATATTCTTACCCCATGTTACTGCACCGTTTTCGCGATAAATTATAAGATGGGAGACCACATCCTAATTATATTTTTACATAAAAATGAGTAATCACTTTGTCTATGGATATAATAAAATATTATTTACAAGGCCTTTATAAGGGCAACTGTTTTGGCGGACATTTAATGAAAACTTGTTTTCTTTACTTTGTGACCTAGAATCTACAATTAAAGTTTGGCCATGTACGCTAACTACACCCTGTACAGTAGTGATCTGGCAAAATAAATGTAAAAAATGTATTGAAATTACGTGGTTTCTTTCTAGCTGTTTATATATTCTTTTTCTTCTAGAATTAAAGTCTTGCCTTACTGCTTACAAATAACCATTACTAGACTAGAATCTGTAGTATCTAGGACATTTAAATATGAATAATTTAAGTACATTAAAAACGCAGTTGTAAATATATCATAAACTCTTAACAGCTATTTGCCCTATTGGTGTTCTGCCTATTTAATATCTAGACAAGCAACGATTCTTATTTTCTCTATAAACAAAACTTCTGGAAACTGTTCATAACTTATTTACGTTAAAAAATTAAATACTTTTGAGTAACACTTACATTAAAAAATAATTCAATTCTGCGCACTGAATGTATGTTGGAAAATGTTGTCTGCTTTTGTGAATATTTTACGAACAGTTTCCAAAAACGCTTACTTTCTAAAACTATAAATATAATTCAGTCATCAGGTACTTAACATTAAAGTTATTCAAATGCATAAGAACTAATGATATGTTAATTTTGATAACAATTATTTGTCACAATTTCAATTATTTAATGTCGTTCCTATGCAAATGAGGGTAAATGAATATCTTTGTAGAACACAGCAAATATAGAATCTCTATGGTAATTTTTATAAATAGTATACAAACAAATATATTTTAATCTACCTAACGCTATAATCAATGAATTATCTGGTATTTGTTTTACAAAAGGGGTTGTTACGTTTTTTCTCAGGCCGTTTATCTCTTTGTATAAATAAATTAGGGAGTTGTTTGTAATATATTAACAAATATGACAATTCGATACAAATATGTTTTGCAGGAGCCAGTTATGAATTGAGGTAAAAATTATGAAATTATAAATCAGCAATATTATGAAAGATAGAAAATAATCGCATATGATTCATGCGATAGATTTAAAAAATCAATGTCAATATTAACTAACCTCAAAATAAATTTGTTTCTTTTCCTTCTTTTGCCATAACTATTTCAACAGTCGAATAATTTCTGTCAAATTTCACACAAGAACTGTTTTATCTTTAATTTTATCGAAGATGTGACAAATCGAAGGCATGTTATTGTAGCACTGAAAAATTTGCTGTTCATTATTTTGACAAACTCAAAACCAATTCATTGCAAACGATTTAAAAGTAATTTTTCGAACAACGGTTATTTATTTATTTATTTGAAAATTACTTTTACAAAGTAGATAAATCATTTAATATGTATTTTACTGAAATAGGAATTATTAATTATCACAAACAAGGAAATTTTGAATACTTATATAACCTTAAATCCTTTTAAAAACGACCAATATACTCGAATAAAGGTACCCTTAGAAAAAAATCCATCGGATTGGTATCCGGTGACCTAGGGGGCCAATGCACAAACCCTTCTCGGTCAATACATGTGTTTGAGACTTACTTTAAGATATTGGAGTATACATTTGTATGATTTGCATTGGCATTTTTTTCTCAGTAATATTCTTAAGGTTCTTAATGGATTATCGTTAATAGCAACAGCGATTGACAATGCCTCAAGATTTTCCTCCAATCTCTGGTGAATATGGTATCCATATCATGAAATTTATTGTTTGTAGTATAATAATTATTATTTATTATTAAAGATTCCTTGAATATTATAGCTAAAACCACTTTGAACTACTGATATTTTGCAGAAAAAACGCATCAGGCTGATGTTAAAGTGAAACTTTAACAGTTTTCAATCTGTTGATTTCTAAATANTGCCATAACTATTTCAACAGTCGAATAATTTCTGTCAAATTTCACACAAGAACTGTTTTATCTTTAATTTTATCGAAGATGTGACAAATCGAAGGCATGTTATTGTAGCACTGAAAAATTTGCTGTTCATTATTTTGACAAACTCAAAACCAATTCATTGCAAACGATTTAAAAGTAATTTTTCGAACAACGGTTATTTATTTATTTGAAAACAACTTTTACAAAATAGATAAATAATTTAATAGGTAGGTATTTTACTGAAATAGGAACAATTATTAATTATCACAAACAAGGAAATTGTGAATACCTATATAACCTTAAATCCTTTTAAAAACGACCGATATCCATCCAAAAATCCATCGGATTGGTATCCGGTGACCTAGGAGGCCAATGCACAAACCCTTCTCGGTCAGTACATGTGTTTAAGACTTACTTTAAGATCTTGTAGTAGCAACATTCAATCTGTCGCTTCAAGAGTCACCTCTTCTAAAAATAAACTACTCCAGTAAGCCATTTAATGATTTGCATTGGCACTTTTTTCTCATCATACACATAAGATTCTTAATGGATTATCGTCAATATCAACAGCGATTGACAATGCCTCAAGATTTTCCTCCAATCTCTTTTGAATATGGTATCCGTATCGTGAAATTTCTTGTTTGTAGTATAATAATAATTATTTATTATTAAAGATTCCTTGAATATTATGGCTAAGCTAAAACCACTTTGAACTACTGATATATTGCAGAAAAAACGCATCAGGCTGATGTTAAAGTGAAACTTTAACAGTTTTCAATCTGCTGTTTTCTAAGTACCTATGCTTTGCTTGTAATTGTGTCAAAAAAGGTTTGCCAAGGTATTTCAAAACTTTAGATGTCGATCTTCTTAGCACATTTTAATACTTTTCTCTTTTATATGCCCTCGCGTTTCGATGAAATTAAAAATAAAGAGGTTCTATTCAATTCTGTACCCACTACGTCGCTTTCGTCCTTTATAACTTTTTAATTTCTATGATTTTTTGCACAATGTCCCATCTTTTCATAAGCAATAAGTGTCAAACTCAAAAGAAAAGACAAAAGTTATGGCAAAAAAGGAAATTAGGACTTTGAGGTTATGTAGCTTATGTAGTTTGTGTTGACATTTAGAAAAAATGATGATACTGGAAACCGAACACTTGTATAAACATTTTTTATGATTATTTAAACGGACAATTAGTTAAGTACTATTTGCTTATGAAATTAACAGCCCACGGACTATCTTTCTCCTACGAGTATACATAAACAGAGTGTTTTGAAGGTAAGTATTTCCTCGGAAGTACTTATTTCCGAAACACCTTGTATTTTATAAACACAACCTCATCGTTCCACAAAACGAAAGTTCCATTATTCACAGTGTTATCACAAGAACTCAGTTCCTATCATCAAAGGGCGTCTTTACGAAATACGTCGTAAGCGTACCTTTGCCTTTGACGTAGGTGGGGCCTCGACACTCGCACTGGTAGCCGGCGTTCATGAGCACGTTAGCCGTGACGTCCGTCGTCTGGATGCGGCCCAGGATGCCGCAGGAGTCCATGCGAGACGCCACGTTGACGGTGTTGCCCCAGATATCGTACTGAGGCTTCTGAGCGCCCACTACTCCTGCTATTGCGGGCCCGTGGTTCAGACCTGTGACAGAAATCGACATGAGTTTTTGACGATACAAATGTTTACGAAGTTTTAACCAACTATTCGTAAGGACGAAGCTGTTGACCACAATTATTGTCAAGTTTCTGGGGTACAAAAACGATAATTGCTCATATCTATACAGCATTTTCCATAATATCAGGGATTTTATTAAATCTTTGCTGCATTATAAGATATTGGTGTTGGTATACAGGGTGTTCTATAAAATATATGACAAGTGAGTTAATTTCAAACATTATTTCTTATATGAACTTAGGTCGGATTCGTTTTTGTTTGGGGGTTACAAGCATTTTAAAAAATATGATTTCATATTTCAGTCAAAGTAGCCTGATAAATAAAATTGATGGTTGATGTAACAATAATTATTATTTATATTTAAAGTTTAAACATTAGTTAACCTTTAATGTTAACCAAATTAGCAAATCTTAAGACTATAAAAATTGTTCAACATTCTCAACAATTTTTGTAAGCCTCTCAGGATGTTCTGGTAACAACTGCTTGTCTTAATTACATACTCATTAAAGTGAGCAAGGACAAAATTGTAGTGTATTCCATTTTGTACATTTATGGTGTATGTTATCTTGTTCTTAAAAGCACGATAAATTTATTAATCTGTCAAAATATACTAGACACGGAAATTAAGGATATTTAAAAAATTCCAAAATTTTGGGTGATTTTCAGAGAGCTGTAACTTGGAGGGAAATGTTCGTAGAGAGAATTAAAAAAAAGGAAATTGAAGCTTCTAGGTTTCAGATCTGCAATTTAAATTTTTTTAGCGTCAGCAATTTTTGAGTATTCATGAGAAAATCAACGGAAAAAAAATTTGTAAATTTTTGCTATGGAGTTTTATGGAAAATTTTTTGGTAATTTCATCGCAAAGGTCTTTTAGATAATTTAGTCCTCTTCAATTTGAGCGGTTCCGGAGCCTTGTACGATTATTTGTCGCTGATTTATCGTCGATCAAAGCAAACAAATCATTTTTGACTTTGACAATCAATTATTCGGAAAATAATGGTCGTACAGAAAATCCAAGCAATACCCGATATTAAATTGTGATCTGCAACGTCAAATCAACCAAATTTTTTTTGACGTTTGTGAAGCTTGTGGATATGTTAAAAAAATTAAAGAAAAATAATTTTTGAAAAAAATTTTTTTTTTATTTATTTCTAGAATCATGAACGTTTTTCGATGAAAACTTAAAAAAATTAATAAAATGTGAAAAATTACTCATTACATTGATTTTCAGCAAAACGACAAATTTAAACATTCTGACAAAGAAAAAAAAATGCAGCGTTTTGAAATTATCAGTGTTTCTTTAAGACACTTTGAGATTGAAAAGTTACAGTCAATATCCTTAGTTTATTTATTATTTGCAAAGTTATGCCAAGTTATTCAAATATCCCCAATTATGCAATTTTTTAACTTTTTTCTAACCAACATGTTCACCTTGAAAATTTTTTTTTTTTATCAAAAACCCATAATTACGACTTGTAGAGAATACCTTGCAGTTTTCAAAACCCTGCTAGGAGTATCTGTACGACCATTATTTCCTGAGTAATTGATTGCCAATGTCAAAAATAATTTTTTTGCTTTGATCGACGATAACTTAGAGACAATTCATCTGGAACCGCTCAAATTGAAGAGAATTAAATTATCTAAAAGAGCTTTATAATAAAATTACCAAAAACAAATTTTTAAGTCCATAGGCCTTTTTAGAAAAAGCAAAAATTTACAAATTTTTTTTTCATTGATTTGCTTAGGATTATTCAAAAACTGTTGACGCTAAAAAATTTAAATTGCAGATTTGAAAACTAGACACTTGAAGCTTCAATATACTTTTTTTCGATTCTCTCTACGACCATTTCCCTCCAAGTTACAGTTCTTTGAAAATTACCCAAAATTATGGGATTTTTTTAAAACCCCTTAATTTCTGTGCCTAGTGTATGACCCAAAATATGTTGTATAACAGCATAAGTATTATTTCCCATGAATTGTGTTGTCGCTGACATATTAAGAATTTTGGTAAATCTGTTTATTTTATTAATTAATGAACGGCTTTTAACTATGATAGTAAACTTTCTATATTAGGTAGGTATTATATTATTTTCCAATGGTGAAAATGTATTCGTGTAGGGTGAAAGTTAATGCCGTATTCCCGAACTCAAATATTTGTTCACATCATTTACGTAGCGTCGGTTGTCACATACACTGACACGCAGACATGATTTTCTGGAAATTAGGATTTTCATTTAAAGCTATATGATGAAGTTGTGAAGTATATGTCAGATCTCGTTACCTTTAGAACTAATTATTTTCAGAGATATCAATTAAATCTGTTTTGAGTTTATTTTCATCAAATGCTTCTGTTTAACTGTGCATCAGTCGTGTAACATTAGGTTAACCGTTGTTGTCACGTTGTGATGAAACTCTCCAATATTAATACTCGCTGTATTTTGAAAACTGTCCCTGTAATATACAACTTTTTTGTTCATTTATGATTACTCACTCTCATTCTGAAGTGATGGCACTCAAACTTCTTACACCCTATATACTACCTATCTAAACTTCAAAAACGTTGGTTTTAATGCATCACATGTGGATATTAATTAGTCTTATAGTCCAGGTGCTGACAAATCATATAAAATGTATATTTGAGAACTTTACATTTAAAAACGTTGATATTTGCATTTCGTCGACACCACACGGACAAATTAACTTTTTGTTAGCAACTATAGAAAAAATTTATATAAAGTTGCAATATTTTTGTTTAAATAATGTTTCAGTGAAACATGCGACATATTCGTGACTTTGGCAATAACATAAAAGCTATTAAAAAAGAGCCCTACTCTATTTTCTCCATGTTTCCTCCACAACAAAAACTTACCAACTCTTAGTTTGAATCTTTGGAAAGCATCCCTATTTATTTGATCTAAACTTGTCATTAGCGATACTGCAAAGTCCACTAAAGCGATGATTATGTGCTCTTCTTTTCTACTGGCCTCCTACAAAAAAAAGTAATTACCTAGTATTGATGTTAAATCAACAAATTATGTACAAGGATATTCACAATATACTCTACCACCTTATTTTTTGCATACCATTATAGCCAGAAAAAAACACAAATATACAGTGTGTTTTGTTTAAAAAAAAAAAGTTTTAATACCTTTTCTGTAAGTATTTAGATAGAAGGGCAAAAAGGGTTGTGTAAATATCCCTGTACATCTCTAGTTATTGTATCTTGCTTTCGTAGGTTATGTATTATTATCTTGATGCATATATTACCTTAAATATATCCTATAAATATTTGCACAATTGAAAACAAAATATATTTATATACTTTCTATCATTATATTTGCCAGCCTACTGTATAAAAGCAGAACTATTTTGAGAATACTTTAACATTTTAGATATCGAGCTCGATTGGCACAAACGTAATTTAATATTTAATATGTAAAAATCTTATTTCCAAGTATTAAACTCAGCTTCGAGCCAAAGTCTATTTATAACTTCAGTATTTATTAAATCGAGTTCAAATATGAGTATATTTGATGAAATTGAACTGAACAAATACGATTCCTCAATCATAATTTCCAAACTTTCAAGTTAAATAATAAAAAGCAATTTTAAGAAATTGCTCCACAAATACTGTCATTTTTTCTATTTTTTTTAATAAGAATTAAAGTTTATAGACCTTAGCAAGAAGATAATAAATTTTTGCATCCTTACTCAAAATTCAGACAATCAAAAACTGATTTACTTTCCGTTTGTTTTTTAACATCAAAGTATTGCGTGCTGTCTAAGCATAAAGCAAAAAAGTTGTCTCCCTATATTTGATACCAACCTTACTGTTTTGTTCTTTGCCGGGCCTAAGTCCTGATGCCAGCATGTAAGTACTTCCAATGGTCTTGATTTTTTCTATACAGCTGAATTTGGGCTTCAGAAGTAACTGAAATGCCGAAAATATTTTTCAGAGAAAAGCAACACAGTACCACCTTGTGAATCATCAAAAACATATCCTGTTCTAAAGTAAGAATAAAATCCGATCCCTCCTATAAATACCTACCGTCTCAAACAATAGACATACCTTATCAAATTCACAGATAATTTCATTTAGAAGCCGCAGGCATTCCAACCCTTGCTTATTGACGTCGCTTTCGTCATAGAATTCTTTGTAGTTTGGTATTGAAGCGAACATCACGGCTACACAAGGGTACCGTTCGTGATACAAATCTTGAGTGGTCCTCGAAGTTAAAAAGTGCTCCGCCACGTGAGCTGGAAGTATATTTTCCAAAAGTATCTATAACACATAAATTAATTTAGCGTTTTCTAAACGGAATTCTCGACATCATACAGAATATTAAAACGTGCAAACAGCGTATTCCAGATTCCATTTTTTAAAACTCTTTGAAGAATAAATAACAATTTCTAAAGTTCGATATGATAACACAACGCCAGTCTTAAATATTCTGGTCCTTACGACAAATAACTTCATCATATCTAACGCAACTTATTCTACACGTGAATATCAAAACATTGCCCTTCTCTGCTTTCAAAAGCAATTATCGTATTCGATGCAAAGTAGAGCAAAAAGATCGGTCTTTTATCAAAGGAAAATCGTGTCATCATTTTTAGGAGGCGTAAGATGAATGAACCATTTCAAATTGAAAATGAAATTCAATGTAAAATCTGAAATACCGCTGCATACGCACTATGTTCTGGTAGTAGCTGTAGTCGCCCAGGTGCATCGACTGTACGAAGTGGTCGGTTATACGTCAAATACTAACTTGGTCGTAAAACAGAGAGCTCCTCCAAAAAACAAGTAAACGACAGTGGCGCGTACAGAGGTAAAATGTAGTATATATGTGGAAATTAAAGAACAAATTGGATTTATAATAAATTACATTTAAAATAAATAGTTTGTGAGAATAAAGGAATTTTTGTAGGAACAACGGTGCCAGACGTGAACTGATCCCTTCGTCCCTTCATAATGTATAAATAAATTATTCAATTTCTAAAACCCTTAAAAGCGTATGGCACTGGATCCCTTGACAGGCAATGATTTATCACTATACATCGAATATGATCCTACTATAGTTCTTAACACACCAAAAGTCTATTTCGTTTAATACTTTCTGAAAAATTGCACAGTCCAATTCAGTTTTAATTTCAGCATACATCGGATCGTTAATGGACCTTGTGTAGAAAAGTGGCCCCGAAATAGATCCCTGAGTATGAAGTAAATAATATTTCAACCGTTAAAAAACTACCCCTAATAACAAAATATTAAAAGAAATAGTTTTTAACAGTTTGAAATGATTTGACAGTATAAACAGTAGTAGGATGGTCCAAAAAAAACGAATATTTTTTTTTCGTGTCTCTTGTGAAAATACGTTAGTTTATCATGTTTTAAGAGCCCCCTCAAAAAATCTGCTCAAAAAAATTTTTTTAAAAGCCCAAGATTTTTAAAATTTCCAAAATCGTCAAAAATTGATTTTTTTTTAATTTCTTTTTCTCGTTACTTTATCATTTTCTAGGTTGAAAAAAATCTCGATTCTGAAAATTTCAAATCGATATTTTAATTTCTAAAGGTCACTCATAATTATTTTAACTTTAAAAGTAGTGTACCTAAAATGTTTTCAAGCGACCTCTAAAAATAAATATCAACGAACTAATAATTTTTTTATTGAATTTGATGAACAAAAGAATAGAAATAAATCACGAGACATTCTTGATTTTTCTTACCTTATTGATACCTCTCATGGTTTCAACTTCTTCTTGTTCTACCTTCAACTTAGCCTTCCAAAGATAGTCAGTTCTTGAAGTGAATTCAATCTGTCTATCCAGGATGTGGAAGAAAAGTACCACGATAGCCAGGATCAACGCAGTTTTGATTTCAAATGGTACTTTAGGGAACCTGAGGAGAAACAGTTTTGCAGTTGTTACAAATGTTTTGAAGATGTCAGTTACAAAAATGTGAGATACCAATTTATAGTAATAATTTCACAAATGTTTGACTTTACCGCGTCCGCAGTGATTTTTTGACTCTAGAAAAACATATAGTTGTCTTTTTTTCAGAAGAATTTCTGAAATTTGGGATTAAATCCTCTGGTCGGTATCTCCAGTTTCGTAACTTCTTCTGAAGAAGAAAGTGATATATCTCTTCAAACATAAAAAAGTCTAAACCAATTAAGTGAAATTATTTTTCAACTTATGATACCAGATCTGGGTATTTTATATGTTGAAACATTTGAGACAGAAGTAATTTACTCACTCATCGTCGTGTGCGTCGTGGTAATCTTGAAAGAATTCTAAGTAGCTGTATATTACTATATGGGTGACTACGGATATTACCATGAGAGTCAGTTTAAGAATGAATCCCATCCTCAAAAAAACTGATATAGCTGCTAGGACCAATGCAGAACTATATAAATAAGTCTACGAAAAAGAAAAAATACATTTACTCTTTCACTCACAATCAGTCAGATCAAAATGTTATAACTTTTAGTTAAACATTGCCCATTTTTTTGTTTTAAAAAGAAATATAAATCGGATGTTAGTAATTTCTACCAAAAAATACTCACTGGTACGTATTGAACAACAGGATCTGTTGTGTTTTCAATGGTGGATGTCAACATCATCACCATCGTATCATTTGTACCAAATTGCGTATAGTTGGTACCATCAAACGGAGAACTAATCGACGGAATTGTTACAGATACTGGTGTGGGCACGGGATTGTAATCCACCTAAAACAATCCTTAATCGTAAAATCGCGTGGAAACGTATCTTAGATATAAAATGTAAATGTTGAACGTTTAGAATAACATCCAATTTAAACCCAAATCAGCATCGTTAAATAAACATAGTACTATAATACGGTGCCGAATATTAATGTGAGATTATCATATTTACGACTCACTTTCCCGAAGAATGGAATACGGGTAGGTATAAGACGTAAACAGTATACGTCTTGTTATTCGATGCGGGATATTATTTTAAGAGAACTTGTTTTCATAAATTTATCCAAAACGAGTTGATATCCAATGTGATTTTAAAATAATCATTTTACCAGACACGTTTAGTCTTTTTTACTATTACTATAAAAGTCAATATTGTTCTATTTTAAATATATAAATTCTATAATTCTATTAATTTGTCACTTGAGATTTGAAACTTCTTAAATATTTCTAATATTGTCAGAATATCGCGATATTTAAGGTCATAACAAAGAAGCCATTATGTTCACATGAATTTTTTCGTTCTAACAACTGTTGAAGATAAGTCATTTGAAAAAGCAAAACCTCTATTAAAAACAAATGATTTGCAATGTAAAAACTTATGAGACGTAGCATGTTTAATATGGTGATGTATCAACTGTAAGTAAAAAACGAACGCACCACTCTTGTATATTGCATTTAAAAGTTACTGCATGCTTTGAATAATTAAGCGTTACGTAAAACGCTTCAGACAACTCATATCACTTTAAAATTTCATAAAACGAATAATTTTGCAAAGCTTTTACCGCCAAAGAGAATTATAATACAAATTTTAATAGCTACCAGGACAGGAGACCAAAAATCGGCCAGCATATTCTGAACTATGTCGCCTGGACAAAGGGAATTATTTAGGAGCATCTGCCATCTCCGAAAATTCGACCAAAAGCATACGAGGATTATTGCGCCGCACAAAAGCACAGTAAACGGATTAGACACCAGGACTTAGTGCCTGTAGCTTTCAGCAATTTGCAAGTGTATTCTTTAAAGGAACAGAACCTTTGCAAAAAAATATGGCAAAAGTTAAATGTAAATATAAGTCCACTAAAGATGCCTCATCTTAAACAATTTGAAATAGTATTTCGTAATTAGGTATTTGTTTAGTTCCTTGTGGGTCGCTGCTCTAATAGAATCCAGTAATACCTGCTATTTTATTTGGGACACTAAAAAATAGTGTGTATAGTACTCCAGTAACAACAAAGGAAAATTGTATGCATATAACGAGCGTTCAATTAAAAACGTGGTCAAGTTGGTTCTGAAAATTTCGACGTAGGGCGTAGCGTATAGCAAATGAACTTAAACGTCATCTGTCAAAGCGCTATATCGCCGCTATCAATTTGAATATTTTCGTTTTAAAAAGCGTTTAAAATGGTGTTTTCTCAAGAACAAAAAGTGTTTATCATAGAGTCCTATTTTAGAAATGGACGCAAGATTGATGGAATATGGAAGTATTCTATTGAGGAATGTTTCATAGAATTTCAAAATCAATTTCCCGGCGTTGTTGAGTACAAAATTTTTCAAAGTGCAGTTCAGCGTTGTGTTAATGCTTTTCGTGAAACGGGCAGTGTAACAAGAAAAGAAGGAAGCGGCCGACCTAAAAAGCGGACTGAAGAATTAAAAGAAAATGTCCAACAAATAATGGAAAATGCGCCAAGAACTTCTGTACGTGTTTTATCACAAATGGTGGGAGTATCAGTCGGTACCTGCCACATAGTGTTAAAAAAAGATTTGCGTTTGTTCTCCTATCGTTTAACTTGTCAGCAAGAACTTCATGAAGTTGATTTTCCGCGACGGGCTGTATTCTGTGAATGGTTTTTAAACAACTACGGTGAACTTCATATCACCTTTTTTTCTGATGAAGCCTGGTTTCATTTAAGTGGTTACGTAAACTCACAGAATATGAGAATGTGGTCTTCTGAAAAACCAGATAACTTTTTTGTCGAGGGCCCTCTACACGCTCAAAAAATTGGAGTTTGGTGTGCTCTCAATCGAAGGAGGATTTATGGCGCAAAGGTATAGAGAAGAAATTATCGCTCCTTTTGTTAACCAGCTGGAAGAAAACGAAATTACAAACTTTTACTTTCAACAAGATGGCGCAAGGGCACATACGGCAGGCGAGACGATGAATATGTTGAGGGAAGTTTTCCAAAATCGACTAATAAGTCTCGATGCTAAACATGAATTTCCACCGAGGTCATGTGATATTACGCCGTGTGATTTCTTTTTGTGGCCTTACCTTAAAAACACTATTTTTGAACTGCCTATTCCTGATTTAAACCATCTGCAGGCTCGACTTATAGACAAGATTCGTGAAATTAACAATACCCCGAGCATCTTAGAAAATGTCTTTAATTCTTTGAGGAACAGGTGTGAAAAGTGCTTGGAACAAGGAGGGGGACACTTTCAGCAGCTGCTTTAATTTATTGTTATAACAAGGAGGGGGACACTTTCCGCAGCTCCTTTAATTGTTTGTTATTGTTATCACGATTATTCTTTAAAATAAAGTTATATAGTCATTAACGTTATTGAAACTGACAGCTGCTATACAGCTCGTTGAGAAATGAGGTTAAGTTGATCGCTATAAGCTACTCCCTACGTCCAATGTGTCAGAGCCAACTTCGACCACGTTTTTATTTGAACGCTCGTTAGTAAGGCAAGTATTTGAGCATCTATCACCGGATTCTATTAGAGTAGAGACTCGTAAGGAACTAATTGTGAAAAATGTTCAGAAGTTGAGAAGTTGAAGGAAGATATTTTGAACATTTAATAAAATAAATTTGACAATTAAAAACCTTGTGACAGTTGTCATGTTGATTGTTACTTACCTGTCACGGCTAACCTAAAATATGCGAAACAAATGGAAGAAAAGGGAAATGTTTATTCGTAAATAAAATTAAAACCACTGGGTTTAGGTATAGGGAAACTTTAACAAAGTTACAATTAATTTTAGTGCAGAATGCGAATACGTTAAAAAAATTAGGGGTTTCCTTTTAAAAATGCCTCTATAAAAATTGTAAAATTTTCAAGTCAAATTCGATAAATTAGGTCTTCCTCTACAACATGTCCAATTTGCACAAAAAAATAAACCGATGTTTCCGGGAAAACTAAATTTTGCTGACAGCCCGCATCTGTCAATTTTTGCTTAAAAATCAAAATATCTCGGAAACGGTCAATTCTAAGTATGGAGTGTGTTATATGTTTTCAACTTAAAAATATATACTCTTTCCAAAAATGCAATAATATACAGGGGGTTCCATTTAAAATAAGAAAGTTAGTATCGACTTCCGGTATAACCGGAAGTACGATGACCTTAAAAATATCTTAGCTTGGTAGGCCCCACGGTCTGTATCACACCATCACAATTTCAAAAAAATCCTTGGAGCGGCTTCCCAGATATCCATCGATGGAGTTCGTGGTGGGAAAGTAATTCTTGTACAATTTGAAGATTTGGACTCCTTGTTTTATCTCTTGTCAATGCTTTTAAAATCTTAGTACTTTTTTCGCTGTTTTAAAAAGTTGTATTGAAATAAAAGTCATTTTTAGGCTGTTTTAATAGAAATTAGGCAACCAAGAATACAGACCTATTTGCACTCTTAAAAATAACACCTTCTACACTTACCTATCTAATATTTCTGACCGGCCCTACCCCACCCCATAACTTACCAGGGTAATTACTGCACAGGCCGATATGAGCGTGACGGAGACCAGGAAAATCGCCAATCGGAGACACCTGCTATCCGCCACGATCTGACCGGGGGGCGAGCACGTCTCGGGCTCGTCGACCGGCGTGTCCGAGGGGGGCCTAGGCCCGCAGCAGCCGTCTAACCAGCAGAGGTAAACGAAAATGAGCAGCACCACCGAGGTAGGCGCCAGCGTGCCATAAAGAATAATGCCTCTGGAACAAGGGATAAATTGGATTATGCCTGAAATATTGCCTAGATGCCGATAAAATGTGTAACGTGGAGCGTAATGAAATTATTTGGAGCATGGTGGTGATGTTTTATTTCCCTTAATATAACTTGACTAAACTTTTTAAATCATATTGAGTATGCCACAGGTTCAGCCCTGAAGATGCTTGGTTTCACAACTAGAAACTGTCACTAATTTTCTAATGAGGTACCTTTGAAGACGCTCTATTATCCTTTTATAAGATCTAAACTTGAGCACTGCTCGCTTGTCTGGTATCCACTGTATGTAAATCATAAGCACACAATTGAGAGTGTACAGCGAAAATTTATCAAGTTTTTATGTTTGAAAATTGATAATTCTTATCCAGAAAGAGGATACTATCATTCTGTATAAGCAATACAGAATCGGAAATGGAGCATTTTATCGAAAAAAAAATAAAGAGTACCTTTTTTGTAGAGTAAATGAGGGTCTATCATATGTTGGTATCTGAATTTGAAAATTTCGACAAGCAAAAAAACTGGGGCAAATTTTAACCGACGACCCCCCAATTGAGACGCCCCTGACTAAAATTTTTGAAAAATTTTATGATGACTTTTAATGAGCGTTCATGTTGTCAAAATTCATAATTTTCCTTCAACCCATTTCGGAAATATTTATTAAAAAAAAATGAATTTTTTGAGACTCCCTTAGGAAACATTTCTCGTCCCATGCTTATATGAAAAAATATTCTTATATGTGGCAATAGAATCAAGTGGTAAATTATTGGATACTAATTATGAGACACCTTGTATTGCAAATAAAAAATTGCTAGCGAAAATTACAAAGCCCAGACCCAAAACTGCATGCTTGAATTTAAAAAAATACCACACATACGTTTGTGAACAAACAAAAAGCTGGATGAAATTGCTTGATTGCTTTGTAATTTAAAAATGCACAAATTTATTCTCTTGCAATACATGTTTCCAGAAACATTTAACCATAATTTGTGATCATCATCTGTCACCAAAGTTCGGTCAAGCATTTTATTTACACACTGTATGTTATCAAATTTCGTTATAGTCCAGGCGCTAGAGCAGTAAAATTAGGCTTTGGCGTTTGTGTTTGAAGTCATCTATTTTGTTGCACAGAAAAATCCCAGATATTATGTAGAATAAGAATCCTAGTTTGCCTATTCAAAAAAAAAACATTGCAAAATTCAGGTAAACAACAAACATAGTACAAAAAGAACGAAAAATTACCCGTTTTTCGAAATATTTTTCCATGTAACATTGAAAGTAAACCATAAATAAGTCATTTTTTATTTTTTATTTATTTGACGATTGGGTTTCAAAATACGTATGCGCGATAAAAGATGACTTTCTCGGGAACGGTAGCATTTATCAAGACGATTTTTTTTTTAATTTGATTTAGCAAAATGAGAGGAATACGAGTATGTCATCAAAAATCAATATCTTTTATGTGTGCAAGATTTAGTCGATTGCATAGAAAATTCCCTGGGCAATAAATAGTTGTTTATAGAGTAAAAAGTGGAAAAATAGGTATTTTTAGTATTGATCATTGTTTATTATGACGGTACGCCATAAACTTTTTGAAATTTAATTAACAAACCTGTCAATCGAAAACCACGCGATCGATCGTTGCAAAACTTTTAGGGTAGAACTGACATATTTTTTACTATTTGTTCACAAAGTTTCATCAATATTTATAAATATTTACTCATTTTAAAAATTGTTCCAAATATACATATGATTTTCTACTATGTTTCGCCCATTGTTAATGCAAAATTCAACTTTTTTGATTCGCAGGTCTAACTTTATGGAAAATCGTCAAATAACAAAAAATAAAGAATGACTTCTTTTGATTTAGGGCTTACTTTCAATGTTACAGTAAAAAATATGTCGAAAAACGTCATTTTTCGTTATATTTCGGATTCTTGTTCTACATAATGTTCGGGATTTTTCTGTACAACAAAATAAATGACTTCAAATACAAACGCCTTGAATGCTCTATCGCCTGGACTATTAACCAATGCACAAATCTAACAGAAATATGAGAAATCCGTTTTTTACGTAATTTTTTCCAATCGACAAAAGCTTTTGTACTTAATTTGGAAATAGTTTTGCTAAATGTTAGTTACATCAAACAAATACCTAGCCAGACTGTACAAGCGCGTTGCTTACGTAAATATTTGCATGTTTGTGACCGTCTCTATGTTTGTGTAAATCATTTATTGACAATAGCCACAAATTTGAATGAAACGCAATTGTTGAACTGGTTACCAGTGAGTCGACAATATAAATTCCATGTAGGATTGTCGTACGCCACGAATTGCTAAACTCTAAATCGAACATATAAAACTTGTTCGAAATACATTGTAGTTTATGCCCCAAGCGTGCCGATTTACGTCGACGTTAAAAGACTGCGCTCTACTGCAGTAACTTTGTTTAAAATTACAGACAGTTGGCAAATGTGCATCTAAGCAAGCGTATTTCTGTCAAAATGAAGTCACTTAGGTATATTAAAATGCACCCATTACATAATGTTTAATATTTTATCGTCACGTTACAGATATACAGGGTGTTCTACAAGCTCTCATTTTTATTTACCAGGCTACTTTGATTGAAATACGAAATTATATTTTTTAAAACGCTTGTAACTTTTACACAAAAACGAATCGGACCTATATTCATATAAGAAAAATTGTTTGAAATTCATCCAGCTACCATCTGTCAAAATTTGTCAAAGAGCTTGTAGAACCTGTATAATGTTTTATGAATTTCGTTCTGGAAAAAGGATATTTCAATTTATAATACAGTTATTTTGTTTATTAAAGGATACACAAGACACTTTGTAAAATATAATGTCTAATAATTAAAACAGGCAAGAAAGTAATTGTTTTTTTGATTTATTTCTCCGCTTTCTTTGAAATTACATCAAATAAAAATGTTTAGAGAGTATCTTTATGGTAGCTAGTAAATTAATCTTATTATGTCCTCAAAACAAACCATAAAAATGAATTATTAAAACCCAGAACATTGCTCCAACCGCGAAAACAAGAACTTACTTCAGAGATCCTACTTTGCATAATAATTAATTAATGCCGTAGTCTTTTGCAGATTTATGTTAATTAAAAAACTTAATTTCTTGGGCACTTTATGAGTGTTATAAAACGTTGACAGACTTTTTTGTTCAGAAATTTTTGCGTTGAGATACTGCTGGTAGTAATGATTTAGAAAAGCTACAATTTTCTTGACAGTAAAGATAAGAATCTCATTCTAAGTGGTCATAACAGGTTGTATCAGAATAATTATTTATATTGAATTTTTTTTTAACATTGTTCATCATCAGTTTTAATTATAAAAGAAATTTTATCTACTTTATTTTATAAAGCAATGCCTATACCTATTAGACCAGTGCTTAAGCCTTCAAAAATGGTAAAAAGTGAAAAAAAATTATAGTAGGATGAAACCCATTGGAAAAGGAAGAGAATATAACAGAAATGAAAGGAAAAATAATTTACGGGCGATCTGAGGTCGGGAAGGGGAAGGGGGTGAGTTTAAGGGTAAAAAACGGTTTCCCTTGATTTCCGGAAAAATTACAAGTCTTATGGAAAAAAGTTAAATGGCAAAGTTGTAGGTAATAAAAAGGTCTACAACTTTTGTAATTACACTTTTTTCACATAACCTCAAAATTTATGTGAAAAATTCAAATAACCAAGTTTTTGGTTTTTTAGTTTGATCTTTTACAAACAATTTTTTTTTCACGAAATTTGGTGAAAACAGCTATTTATGTCCCAAACATGCTGTAATTTTTTTTATTTGAAATATTTATTTTTTCACCTTATTTTTACTTAATATCGAAAAAGCACCCTAATTTTCAATCGAAAATTCTCACGTCAAAATATCTGCTTTTTTAAAAACGTCGGTGGGCTTTTTCTTCGTTGAAATCTCTACTTTCTGATGGTGTAAAAAAAATATACATTACTATGGTAAGTTTTCTCAGGAAATGCAAAGAAACGAAAAAACTAGAATCCGAAAATTTCTAATCATTATGTACAATTTTGAGCTATTTATTAAAATTTACACTTTAATTACTCGAAAAACGTAAGATTCCATGTTACATTGATAAACAAAAAAATTACAAGTCGAAATATACTATTATAATTAACAACCAAATAAGTTAATAAAGTTAATATTTAATAAGACATCTACAATATTTTGAGAAAGTTGTAGAATCTTCTTTAAATTATATATATTTTTCGATATTAAATATTTCAAATCAAAAAAATTACAGCGTGTTTGGGACATAAATAGGTAAGTTTTCACCAAATTTCGTAAAAAAAAAATTTTTTTTGTAAAAAATAAAAAACCAAAAACTTCGATATTTGAATTTTTCCCATAAATTTTGAGGTTATGTGAAAAAAGTGTAATAACAAAAGTTGTAGATCTTTTTATTACCTACAACTTTGCCTTTTAACTTTTTTACATAAGACTTGTAGTTTTTCCGGAAATCAAGGGAAACCGTTTTTTACCCTTAAAAACTCACCCCCTTCCCCTTCTCGACCTCAGATCGCCCGTAAATTATTTTTCCTTTCATTTCTGTTATATTCTCTTTCTTTTCCAATGGGTTTGCTTCATTTTCGGGCTACAATTAAAAAACTGATCCCTATCTCCAATTTCCACCCTCTAATTTAATAGCACTCCGCGGTTTTTTCATCTAAAATGACCCTTTGAACTATTCACGCAATAAAATTGCTTGAACGTCATAGTACCTTTTAACCCTGTTTTTTTGCTATAATCAACAGCCTATCAGTCAGTATGCGTGAAATTGTTCATTTTTTAAAAAGAGACTACAAAAACATTTGCTTATCTATCAATTAGGTGAATAAAGAATGATAAGTTAACAATATTTCTCAAAGAGGAGACAGAAAATTCTTTAGAATTATGACAGAAGAAACAATTTAACAATTTGTATTAATTCTTTCTTTTCTTTCTAATTTCGGTGCTACAAACCAAGTCCTTAATATATTTGAATATGTGTTATTTTCTCCTCAGACAATAACTATAATTCCATTTATATATCTCTCTAATCAGGCTAACACAATCTCTTCGTTAGTGTATATAGAATTATTAGTGTACCTGGGAATGGTGGTAATCTGCATGATACACATAACCAGGAATATAAAGGAGGCACAGGCGATGTAGCGGCGGAACTCTGGATCAGGCTGGCTGCGATATTCCGTCTCCTGCTTTCGATTCTGGAACCACAGCAGCGCCGGATGAAGCTCGCCGCTGCTCCACCATTTCCTAAAAAGTAAATTGCAATTTTACATGAGCTTTTTACTCTTTCCAGACGATTTTACACGATTTATCTGATGTTTATGAAGCTGTTATCCAACAATGTGTAACTTTGTAGCGTTACAGTAAAATTGAGGAAAGGACAAGGAAGTTTACCGGTAGAGCAAACTTACTTGACGATAATGAAATGATGGGAGACCTGTGTTAGTTGCAACAACGAGGCACCTTGCTCGCAGTCGCTGTAAGTGCACACGAACTCGTGGCCATCGCCTCTATTAATCTAATTTTCAGTTTCAGTTGTTCCATGATGAATGTCGACGTAAATGTGTTCCAAGTACAAATAAAACTGTTCGAATAACAGACTGCGGTCCATTTATAGGGATTTATAGCGCAAGTGGGCAATGTTCGATTAGGTAATTCACCGTGGTTGAGTAAAACATCCAAGTACTGTCGCATAAAAAACGTAATGTGGACTGAAACGTAGTTTTATGGATACAGTGATTTATATGTGAAGGGGTGAATTTAATACGAGGGCGACACTTTCTGGGAAACAATAAAATATTTTTTTATTACAGTAAAGGCATATTCTATTAATTCATTAATCTGTCTCCCAATCTATTGATAATTTTTCTACAAGGTTGACAAAATGTAAAAGGTAATTTAAAGTAAGTGCTGGAATTTACGATTCTGTAGTCCTACAAATTGTGCAAAAACATGTAGCCCAAGTTTTTTTTTTAATGTTTTTTAAGTTTAACCGTATTGATCGCGGTATTCCGCAGGGTTCTGTTTTGGGGCCCTTGCTTTTCGCAATATATCTTAATAACTTTTGCTTTAACTGAAGATTCATCTAACGTGTTGTCTAAAACCATAAATTGGTTTTCATTTAACGATCTTAAAATTAATACAGATAAATCCCAGAGTATAACGTTTACCACTACTCCAGGGCATGTAGAACATAAATGTGTTAAAATCCTTGGTATTGTAATACCACTGATGATAAATTGACTTGGTCTGACCATGTTGAGTTCATGAATAGGAGGTTGTCTGGAGTAGTTTTTTTGTTAAGGCAACTGAGAGAGGTAATTAGCACTGATACTTTAAGATCAGTTTAGCGCTTTAAAAACCTTTAGAATAAAAAAAATCCATTCGTATTCTGGCCAACGTTATAGAGATCACTGTCGCCAACTTTTTGTGAACCTTGCAATTATTCCCTTGCTATCGCTATTTGTTTATTACTGCTTATTGGATATTCATCAGAATATTGCCAGTTACACGGTTCAATCGGATATACATAATAATAAGTTATGTATAAAGAATTATTTGTTGTCAAAATATTTTTCATGACTTTTAGTGGAATGAAAGCATTCTGACGTCTATTATGTTATACTGTGATTTTATTGTTAGGTCTTGTATTTCAATTAGTCTTGTGCTTTAGTTGTCTTTTCTTAAATTGTTGTTTTATGATTGTGTGTTTCTTTGACTTGCTACCATAATATGTTATGTATTAATGTAGCCGAATAAATAAATAATAAACAATAAACAATATGTGAGGTAGAAATATCAGTCTTAAATTATTCTGGGAATTTCACAACTATTCCTTTAATCACCTGGATAACAGACCTGTCAACTAAAGTTATAGATACTGTTTAATCATCTCTGAGCATTAGTTATGTATGTATGCATACATTTACTCTAAGGTATTGATAGATTAAGTTTTAATACCTTTCAAGTAGTGTTAATACAATAATTTGGAAGTTTGAAACAGTAATCTCTTAATATTTATATCTACTGCTACACCATTACTACTATTTCTGGAAACAAGGGCTTAGAAGAGGACAGCGCTATCAAAATCTTACCTACATTCCAGGCACGCACTTCGATCGGGCAATAAATTGGACTCTATCATCGCCAGCGTCTGCAACCAAAACCACGTGAAATTAAAATCGTTTGCGATAAGGATTAGAATCGAATAACTTTCTGATACAAGTTTGTTAATTAAGCTTCACGTAAGGGGAATAGCGGGTTACATTAATCTTAACATGGGTTGGTAATCTAAAATTAGAGATTGTAAATATCAGTTATTAATAATTGAAATTAAAAAAACCAAGCTAAGCTAAATCGAGTTTCAGTCGTCTTGGTCTTGGGTCTATTATCCATGTAGCTTGTAAGTTATAAATATATTAAATTTCCAGTGTTGCGAGAAACAACTACTCCGCGAGCTATATGCCCCGACCGGCATTGAATTATACTCACAACATCTAGTTCAACAGCTAGGATCATTCGTCTATCGTCGATTTAAACCACCAGGCACAGACCGGTTTTGGTCTTTATCAGTGTGTCATAGGTGAGAACCGACGAATGAAACGATCCAGCTTATTATAATGTCGTATGCTCACGATCAAAAGGTACATTGTACGCGGAGCGCAAATGACTCCATCTGTCGTGCGGACTTCCAACTATGCCATTCAGATGGCTACTACGGAAGGAAGCGACCTGCTAAAATTTACTGGGTGCTTTTGTTGCACGACTGTCGCCAACAGCACGAAAACAAAATGTTTAATTGCCAGTATTAAAACATAGGTTATGTTAGATATGTTATGCCACTCAACAAATTCTTTCAAACGGTTAATATCATGGGAAAAGTATACTACTTTTATTTCTGTGACCAACCTGGACGTACGATGTTGACTGCAAACAGAAAAACACCACAGTAATATATATAGGAAGATTATTAACAACAATGAGAGTATATGCAAGACACTTGACTGAATGTGAGATACAGAAGCAAGAAAGAGTAGAAGTATACACTGATAATAAATTAATGCTTTTATAAATACGAACAATATTATTGACATTATTGTTATTGACATGGAAAATTTATTAAATAGCAAAATGCTGATAACTAAACCAATACCTACTATTTTCGCAACGAAAAAGTTAATTAGTTGTGCTAAATTTTAGTTTCTCGCATTTACATTCTTACAGCATCTTATTCAAGTTAGATATTTAATTTTATCATCTACAAATGGCAATGCTAGAGCTGGGAGAGATTTAATCTTTAAGTAACTGAGATCACTTCGAAAAAAGAAAATCAATTCTAAATTATTCACTCTATTTAGAGAAGTAAATTTGACACTTTATTATTATTTAGTACGCATTTTGAAAATTCAACACAGTTCTTTGGTTTAAAAATTTTCATTTTGTTTGAATATACTGAACTGTCTGAAAATACAGGGTGATTGACAAATGGTGACCAAAAATGAAACCTCGTATTCTTTGGTGAATTTTAAGGGGTCTTTCCTATAAAGTTTTTATCTTAAAATTCACCAAAGAATACGAAGTTTCATTTTTGGTCAAATTTTGTGAATCACCCTGTATATTTCTGTTTATAAAACATATTTTTAATTTTATCTCTATACAGGGTGGGCCACCAGTAACGCCTCGGTCGCTAGTGACCAAACGGCAAATGTTACAGAAACCTGTTTAGGTGGGTATGTGTAGGTTGATTACGGCTACATTTTAAAAATATTTTGAAATATACAGGGTGTCCAGGAAAAGCGTACCATATCAAAGTTATGTTTTTTTAAATGGAACACCCTGTATTTTACTGCATTTTTGAAAGCACCGTAAAAAAATAGGTGAACTTTATTAAAGGTTCTGCATACCTAGGACTTACAGTTTGTGAGATATTTCAATTTTAGTGAAAATGCAGGCATAGCGTAGAAATTTAATATTAGCAATAAAAAAATAATTTTAAGGAAGCAGCTTTGGAGGGTCTATTTTAGATCCTTGAAGTTATAAATTGTTATATTTGTCGTCACTTAGTATTATACAGGGTGTTCAAAAAACTGCTGAATACTTCTCTCAACTTTAAACAGCAATAACTTGGTTATTTTAAATGGAACACCCAGTATATTTTTACTTTGGGAGTTGGGAAATTTAAAACTCTTTCAAACTGTGTATAGGTTCCCTATACCTATCTCTAACGGTATTGGAGATATTTGTGCCGTTTCGTTTTTTATCGATTTTTTTTTTAAGATGTATCCACGTGTCTTTATCGAGGTCTTTACTGAATTGGTTTGGGTTCTTCTTGATGACGTCTCTTTAAATATATTGAGAAAAATGAGGATGCAATTAGATGGCGCACCTGCAAATTTTTCATATTCAGTGAGAAATTATTTAAATCGAAAATTTAGTAATAAATGGATAAGTAGGAATGGTGCATGTCAGTGGCCACGTAGGTGTCCAGACCTCACCGTAATGGACTTCTTTGTTGCGAGCTATATAAAAAATCTTGTATACAATGTTCCACCTATTACTTGCGATGATATTGGAGGGAAGGATTAGAGATGCATTTGCGTGAGAATATCATTTGAAGATAGAATAAGATGCTGTATTCAGGAGAATGGTTATCAATTCGAACATCAATTAAAATTTTTCTTTGTTTTTTCTAAAAGTAAAAGTTCCTTTTATCATTATCATGAAAATATTCAAAAAAGTTTTCTAATAAAAAATATTATTTTATAAGCAGAATGATTATAAAAAGTTATTAATTTTGTATAAATATGTTTGTAGTAAGTAACTGAATTATTTATGAACAAGAAAAATATTTATTAAAGAAAATTTTACTTTTAGAAGAAACAAAGAAAAATTTTAATAGATGTTCGAATTGATAACCTTTCTCTTGAATACAGCATCTTATTCTATCTTCAAATGATATTCTCACATTCCTTAGAATAGTTATTTGGGGTGATATATCTAATCCTTTTCTTCATATCATCGCAAGTAGTAGGTGGAACACTGTGTACAAGATATATATTTATACAGCCCGAAACAAAGAAGTCTATTACGAGAGGTTTGGACACCTGTGGTAGCCACTGACATGGACCATTCTTACCTACTCATTTATTACTTATTTATCGATTTATATAATTCCTCACTGAATATGAAAAATGTGCAGGTGCGCCATCTAATTGCATTCACATTTTTCTCCTTATATTTAAAGAGACGTCATCAAGAAGAACTCAAACCAATTCAGTAAAGACCTCGATAAAGACACGTGGATACATCTTACAAAAAAAAAATCGATAAAAAACGAAACGGCACAAATATCTCCAATACCGTTAGAGATAGGTATAGGGAACCTATACACAGTTTGAAAGAGTTTTAAATTTCCCAACTCCCAAAGTAAAAATATACTGGGTGTTCCATTTAAAATAACCAAGTTATTGCTGTTTAAAGTTGAGAGAAGTATTCAGCAGTTTTTTGAACACCCTGTATAATACTAAGTGACGACAAATATAACAATTTATAACTTCAAGGATCTAAAATAGACCCTCCAAAGCTGCTTCCTTAAAATTATTTTTTTATTGCTAATATTAAATTTCTACGCTATGCCTGCATTTTCACTAAAATTGAAATATCTCACAAACTGTAAGTCCTAGGTATGCAGAACCTTTAATAAAGTTCACCTATTTTTTTACGGTGCTTTCAAAAATGCAGTAAAATACAGGGTGTTCCATTTAAAAAAACATAACTTTGATATGGTACGCTTTTCCTGGACACCCTGTATATTTCAAAATATTTTTAAAATATAGCCGTAATCAACCTACACATACCCACCTAAACAGGTTTCTATAACATTTGCCGTTTGGTCACTAGCGACCGAGGCGTTACTGGTGGCCCACCCTGTATAACCTGCAGACTAATTAAATCCTCATTTCGCCTTACACAGCATCCTACATGCTACTGAAAGGTGAAGTATTACATTCATCTGTGATATTTCTCGCCTACGTTCACAATAAATCATATATGACTGCCAATCGTGTTTCCCACACCGCGACAACTTACAGTCAACTCGATGTTTTTCGCCAGTGTAGACTCTGCGATGTTGGCGAAGGGCTTGTCAGCCCCCCAGCATTCCACGTACTTGGTCATCTTGCTGGCAGGCCGGGAACGTGGGGGCAGGCCGCCGGGGGTGGCTATCCCCATGCCCAGTTCGCAGATGCTGTTGTTTCTGTCGGAGACCGTGGACATTCGCGGCCTGACGTTGCCGTTTTGTGCCTCCGTATCCGCCTTCTGGAAGAAAATGCGAAATTGATTTATAGTGTCAGTCAGTAGAACAGTGTAGTACAATTTGCATCAGCACGTTGAATTTTGTGGGAAGCAGTCGGATCAATCCATCTGGGGTGCCTCAGGGCTCAGTTTTGAGGCCATCGCATTTCAGTATAGTTTTAAATGACGTGAGAGAAAAATATTAATAGAAATTACTTTGCTTTCTTTGATACGCCTCTAATTAAATATGTTTGCAAAGCAGCAAAATTGGAATTTAAAATGAAAATTTTTCTAAAATGAAATAATATAGTGATATACTCCTAACCATTTTAGCATTTTGACGCGAAATATGTGTTACTTGCTATAGTTTAAATTAAAGGTATATGTACATTGTTTTATAAACTGATATTGTTTCATAAAAGATACACATATGGAAACAAAGCTATTGCAGAAATCGCATGCGAAAAGTTCTTCATTTCCCTTTCCTCAACGCGAATTCACGTTGAGGAAATTATGTTCTAAAACTATTTAATATACAGAAATTTAAGTTGTCATAGCGATACCTACTTCATTATATTTGAACAAGAGTGTACGCTTTCCAAAGACATTTCACTAATCTTATTAATTGAAAGTAAAATATGTTTATTTACTTAAATGTATGTAGGTATGACTTGAAGTCTTGTTCCTTCGATAGACTTAACTTTCCAGGCATTTACATATTATTCCAAACCACTCTCTTTGAAATACGAAACTTGCTGGAAATTCATTAACTTTAATTCAATTACGATTCATCAAGTAAGCTAGGTGGCTATAATTTTGACGGTTTAAGCAAGAAAGTCATGTATTTTCTTAAAAATAAAACCGCTTTTGCAATTATTTGGATTTGAATCAACATTTTTTTTAATACCTAAATTTGTATAAAATAAATCAACTAATTTCTTTCTTGAGACCTTGTTATGAAGACTTGATACAAGACCAATTTAGTTAATTGTGTATCATGTTTTGTCTTTGTTTCGAGGCATTTTCCAGTATTTTCCAAGTTTTTCCATTGCACTAACAAGCACTCTTGTTTTTAAACTTTATTATCATGTTCCCTTAATTATGTTCGCTTTTGATTTGAACCCCCTATCTCGCTTACAAGTTTTTTATCGTCAGGCTTTCTTTTTTATAAAATCCTTGAATCATTAAAAATCAGTCCCTTTTTTTAACTGAGTCTGTAGAGTATAATTCAATATATTTTCAAAATTTAAATATTATTCGTTTTCTTTGTGGCTAGACAACCGTAGACTAAGTGTGGGTCAATTTCGTTTTCAATAAAATGTAAATGATTAGTCAAATTTTCTTCATTTTTTAGAGAAAGGAATTAATTTCAGACATTCCAAAGGTCAATATTAAATTTCTACCCAGAAATATAACTTCTTACCTACTTCAAAAATAGGCAGCATTTAAAATAAATATTTAATACTTACGGTTAAACGAATTCTAGTCTTAATTTTATGATCTACATAGATTTTATAGAAACATGTTTTGTATTGTATATTAAATGTACCGTTTGTTTAATACAAAATTTAATAATTTTGGTGAAATATACTTATTTTAAGAATATATTTGGATATAAATATTTCTCAGTAATAAAAAATATTTTGTTTCCAACTCACAATACCCACTACAACAGTTTAACCAACCATACATAGGTCTGTTTGGGACTTATTGATGGACCACATCATTATTAAACGATCCAGTGCGTAGGTGCTAGTTCCAAATATCGTGCTACTTCCCACCTACGCCATTCTGTGACTTACAATTTTCTTTCAAGAAAATGTAAGTTTGATTATAATATGCTACATTTGCTTTGAATAATTCCTACATTAATACTAAATTTTAAATGTATATATTTTAAGGAACTGGTAGTTTTGAAACAAATATGTTTGCAGTTTATAATGAACTGTAAGAGATATCGTAGCTAAAGTCCGAGATAATAAATTTCAAAACTATAAAAGATTTGAATTAAATTTTCTTTCTACATTTTGTGATATCCAATGAACATGTGAAATAGGATCTTAAAGGGACAAAGTCAAGTGATGTAGTTACATTGTTTCCTGCTTTTAAGAAAACATCGTAAAACTCGTATTGATTGTCCTGTATAACGGTGTAAGAAACCACCATAGTAAAACAAATTAATAGCGAAAAGTAACATTTTTATTGCTCCTGCCGCTAAATCAGAAAAGATGCACTTTTGCTAATGATAATATTTAAAATGTTGTAAGCTAAGAATGACTATGCCTTAATTAGAGGCTATATTTATAACATCGAATACCACTGATATATTTCAATATAAAACACAGATAATAATTAGAGACATATTTAATTTGCAGAATATTAGAAAGAAAAATATTAAGTATTATTTCATATGTAGAATTGTATGTACAACTGAGTTCCCTCTAATAAACCCACTTTGACGTTCTCCTAGTTCCTTGTTTTGAAAAGCGTAACTTTAGTGACGCCGTTATCTTGCTGCTAGAAACGGCAACAGGTTCGTATTCCAACAACTAAGTTCTGAAGTATCCACTTGAAAAACGTTACGGTATGAGTATGCGAGGAGTAGGCGGATGAAAGTTCACTGAAAACATGGAAGCTCAGAATTTAAAAATACGTGCCTACTGACCCATTTCAGTAACGATATTAATATTGCTACTTTGATACGAATAGTTTTTTCAATTGGTCTCCTTTTAAGAAATGAAATTAATAGATATTTATGTCAATAGTAGCCGAAATGACCAATATAACCCCATATCATATCGAAAAAATCGGATTAATTTATTAAAAATAAGCCATACTTAACACCTATGTCTATAACATCAAAAATGTTTAAATTTCTGATCAAAGTTTAATTTTTCGAGTAGCATTAGATTACGTACAGACGAATTTAATACTACCTAATTACTTTCAAAAACAAGAAAAGTTATTTAAGGTGACCTCTCATTATATTTCATTCTATTTACGTTTTTGTAGTCATGCTTAATTCATTTGTAATCGTTAAATTGGGTCAAGCGTTTTCACTTTTTGTAGGGGGCGAACTGCGTAAAAAAGCATATCTGTTTGTTATTTTATACGACGTTTTATTAGCCCTACCCTAAAGCAAACTTTGTTGGCGTTTGGCGTTCAGTTGACTTTGATCGCGTAAACAGAACATTTCGTTTATCAATTTTGTAACAGTTGTTTTTATAATTATGTACTTACCTAACTTTGGAATAATATTTGTTCCAGTCGTTTTTTCTTGGGCATTATAGGAAAAATTCCATTTCATTTTTCCACTTGAAGATTATTTAAGACACATTATTCTTATCATTTAAAATCAATTAGGAATTGTAAAAGACATTCTGAGGCGTGTTTTTAAGTTATGAAGTTGATATTGTCCAAATTTGTTGAAGAAACAAATTTGGAATTGATGTTTTAAAATGTAACAATAAGTGTCAGATGTATATGTTTTTTTCTTTGCTTTTCTAACTGTACCGACAAATACCGACTTAAAGATATCAAACAAAATTTGCGTTTAATCACAGTCACGCATACCTACTACGTATATTTTTACTTAATTTTTAGGTCATTTTTGGGGGTTACGGAGAAGCTATACACTAACTGGTGAAATCTGACTTCAGAATCGTGATCAGCGGATGAAAATACAAGGAATTAAGATGATCTAAACCTATACATTTTTTTGTTTTGCTTGCCTTGTTGTTATTATGAGCAGAACACCCCCTAAATTATTTGCTCATAATTTCTGGACACCTTGTAGATTTCTATACGAGACATTCAGAGAATCCGGATAATCTATATGTCTACAATAGCGAGGATTGGTCAACTTTAAACGATAGTCATTCGACTAAGTCCATATTCGGAAGAAGAGTATGGAATTAGAATAACTACATTAAATTATTCCCAACTACTTTGCATAAAAGGTCCAGTGAAACAAATAAATTGAAGCCGCCGCGAAACGTTTCTCTTTTAAAGGCCGTTATCTGCGCAATACATTTAAATAGGAGTTGGAATTGTAATTATGTAAAGAAGGGGGTGGTATGTAGAGGAAAACAAAAAAATATTTCATCTTGGGAGCTAAACCCTCCAAGTTTTTATACTGCTTCGACTTGATTAAATATGAAGGGTAAACGAAAAGTTCAAGAGGAGATTAAATTTCCTACTCCCAATAAAATATTTACTCAAGTTTTGAATATAAAAAATTATGAAACTATCCTTAAAAAGTGAAGGACAAACAAATAAAAAAGCAATACATTTAAATGTGATGAAAATACAAAGTGTGGAAAATCACAAACAGCCTTATGAATTTTTATTTGCGAGTGCCAAAATATGTAACAATATTTTTTTTTATATAAAATTAGATTAGGAGCAGGGTAGTAAATTAAAATGCCCTCATGAATCAGGCAACGAAGCGATATTAAACACTGATTAAATACCGACGGGTGCCGTGTTAAATAGTGCGTGAAATTGCATCAAACATGCCTGCATGTCTATTTAGTAGTATTAATTGGATTCGGTTAAATAACGTCACAAATTCAGAACAATTGGAAATCAAGTAACATTGTTTCAATCATTTCCCATTGCTTTGAAAAATAATTCATTTACTAAGGGGAACTAGATACGCAAATTTTACTGAAATGGAAAAATAAAATATTTCATTTGACAGTTTTAATGTTTTAATAAAATTAATTTTTATTGTGTGAATTATTTCGATTTTATTTTCAGAACAGTTAAACTCATTTAATTTAAACTTTAGAAAAATGGACTCAATGTCTCGTTCCTTTCTCTACACAAAGTTAAATTGATGAACACAAAATTACTTATATAAAGTTTCCATTGTCTAAAAGTCATAGCATTAAAGAATTAAATTTTAATTTCCATGTAAAATTAACTAGTTACAGTTGCTTACAAACTTTTATTAAAGATATAAATAAAATTATTTCTCTTCTACACACAATTTTAAATAATAAAGTTAGTTGGACTATTGGAAAATGTAAATAGAAATAATGAAATAACAAGAAACTACTGGTTTTCTCATTTTGGATTAATAAAAAGCTTGACCTTATTAACATTTACTGTATTTACATTTTTGTATGTATTTTGCGAATTTTGTAATAACATAATTCACTTTTACAATAACTTTCCCTGTTTTTTTTTACCATTTTAAGGGTATAGTAATTCAAACTAAATAATTAAAAAAATTTTATCAAATAAAATCGGACAATGTTGTTCAATAACAGAAATTGAATTATACCCCCCCCCCCCCCATAAGCAATCAGCAGGTACTAATAAATAATTACTAAATTTATTGATACGGATATCAGTGGTTCCAAAAATGTTTCTTCGTATCAATGTGGAAAGTCAGTAGATCTCGACTTATTCACTGCTTAAATACCATCCTCAGGTTTGTAAACGCCATAGAGTTGATTTAAACAAATGACGCCATGTATTCGAGATAAGTGAAGGATGTCTTTAAAACTTTGTAGAAACTAAGGCGTTTCCAGCAATTTTCTTTAACGACTGTTTTACCTCTAAGAGAGAGGATTAATAAAAAATAACTAGGAGTTAAAAGGACTTTAGATTTCTGTCGCTTCCCCTTTTCCTTATGCACTTCTAAAGACTCGCAAATGCACTGGAGGAAATCAGGACAGCACTATCTTCTTTGTATTAGACTTAAGTGGTTGCACTTTTAGTTCGTGAAAAGAAAATCCCTGAAATTATTTAAAGGTGCCTGGAATGAGTCTATATAAAATTAATTTTAGTTGGTCCTTCGAGACAGGTTCAGCAGTGACAGATATTATTCATTAAACGTTTAACGTTTAATGTATGTACCATCAGAGCCTTATGAATACAGATCACGCACACTTAATTCCCATTAATAGTTGCGAAGTGTGTGTGTACATAATGGCTTGTTCGGGGAGTAACTAGAGACACTCTTGCGGCTGCTAATTCCTCTATGATCGATAGTATTATGGGACTTTATAAGCATGCTGTATGTTGAGAAGCTTCATCTGGCGACATGATATACTTAATCCTAATAATACAACGCTTAAGTGTAAAGTTTGTTAAAGCCGCTAGCAGTCTGTGAAACAAAAATGAAACTTCTACCTGTCAAATTCATGACTTAAGGAAAATTAAATATATATATAAATAATTAAAAAAATAATTCTCGTGTCAAAGTAAACTTATAAAACTGATTTGGGAATATAAATAAATATTTTAAGTGTACTGGAAACCTCTAGTAGGATGTCCCTGAAAGAGACAAGTTGTTAGCATAAATAAAATGCGAATCGACAAGCTACTACTTGTGGAAGCGACGGTGTGGAAAATAAAAATGCTTGCGTAAATCTCATTTTCCGAGCATCAAGCGAACGTTAAAATGGAAATATTTTTAATGGACTTGTTAAGAGTATCCACATTTTTCATATCTGAGACTTGAACAGAATGCAGAGGAATGTTCATCCATTATATACAAAACTTGCAGATAAGGACACTTAGTGGTTGTTGAAATGTATGCAGTTAAACTAACCTTTCAAAATCAAAATAAATAAGCAAAATTGTTTTGACATGTCACTTTTTTCATTCATGAAATTTAACAAACGTATATATACTTTATTTAAACAAATTAGCTATACTTCCGTGAACATCCCTATTAAACTTACAGGCACTTAAAAAGCGATTAGTGCTTTATCGAGCTCGAAATTACTGTCGTAGATGGTGAATATTATAAGATTGTAAGGTGCACACGTTTCTCAATTTATCAGTGACTGCTTTGAATAATAAATCTATCGGTTATAAGCAGCTAAAAGTCCCCAGTGCATCAAAACTTCGTTGCCAAGCATTCACCTTAGAGTCTGTTGTTATTTCAGACTTCCTAGAATGAATTTTAACAATGGAATAAATGGTTTGAAATGAAACGGTGAAAAGTTTCGATGAAAATATATATTAAATACCAATACGAGTGAGGAAGCGCCTCAGATGACTAAGAAGTCATTTCCTTTAAAAATTCTCTTTTGAAATAGAATGTAGCTAAATATTTTTCATATATGCACATAAATTCTTAACGTTAAAGTTACCAGAGCACTTGAACTTAGCATGCAAGACACAGAAACTATTTAGAAAAGCTTATTTCTTCATTCTTTCATTATCGGAATTTTTAATAAAACAAGTTTATGCATGTAAACATTTTAACAATCACGGAATTGCCTTTTTTTGGTCGTGAATAAAGCTGCATTGCAATTCTGTCAATTTAATCTTGGTAGAAACATAAAACCTACAATTGGTTCCTTAAAAGAAAATGGAATAAAGTAGTAAATCCTTGGCTGCCAGAGAGAAGAGTAATAAGAAGTCTTGCATTCAAATAAATCTTAAATGAAGTTAAAAGCGAAAAAACCCGTCTTCTAGTGAAATGATATATTGGCATTAAACTAGTGACTGTAAAAAGGAGATTTCAGTGGATTCTGATACAATATGGTAAGTTTTAAATAGTACAATGGCCATAATTTATATTTATTAGCCTACTTTTTTTATATAATTGTAATTTAATCCAGTACAAAGCAGGAAGCAGCCGTAATTTTAAATTATTAATTAGGTAGATTAATACAATTCGAATTTAGCCGTAATCCCCGAATCCATCATTAATTATTCCAAGGTATGAAATATTTGACTTATGGAACATAACAGGTGTTCTCCATTAAATATGAGGGTTCATTTATCACAAAATGTATCTCCCAAGCAAACCGCATTCATTTTTCAACATTAATTCCACCAATTTGGTAAAAAATTAGCAGTATACCTCTTAAAAAAATGAGAGTTATTTATATATAAATAGATACTGGCGGCTTTATGTGAGGTGTGTATAGAATGACCTAAGAAAGTAAAAATTTGGATATACATAATTATTTTTTAGAACTTGTTTTAGCTATAACTTTAAAATATTTGTCTACAGAAAAGAAAATATACGTTTCTCGTATTTTTTCACCTCTAGAATATAGCGAAGTTTCATGGAAATCGGCGACTGACAATTCGATAACCTTCAGAGTAGGTATGACAAATTCGAGAAATTGGCGAAGCCGCCAGTGATACAGACACAATGCATAATATGCATATCCTCGTTTCGCCCTCAAAATGCGACATATTAAAAGTTTAAAAAACTGTTTCTTGGCCTTTTCTATTTAAGAATTACTACAATTATTTTCGAACTATTGCCAAACTTCAGGAATTAAATAGTTTCATGATCATATCAGAAGAGAAACTGTTTATTTAAAAAATGAATCGTTATTTATTCTTTTAACACATGATTATATCATTCTGTGGTTTCATTAACTCAAGTTTTACTTCACTTGTGAATATAAAATAGGCTAAATGTTTAAGAGATCTATCTATACAGGAAAGAATCGTTCCTTAAACCCGCGGCAGCTTTGACCTGTTCATTAAGAAAATACATGTTCATGTATTGTTATACGTACCTTCGGGGGGATAATAAGAAAAGTTTCTATCTTGTGATCGGCTAAATATCCCTCGCGACTGGTCCCCTCTCCAGGTTCCACTTGGAACTTGTCCCCTAGCTGTTCCAAAGTTGCTCTGGTTATATGTACCCGTCTGAAATAAATAATGATACGTTTTAAACTTAGAAGGCTTGGGGTGTAGAGCGGATTTGTTTTATTTGTACCACAATTCTTCAAAACGTGCGAAAGAAAAATGACCCATCCAAAAATTACTGCTATGTATTTTCCGTGGTTTGAAATTCGTACAGTCGTCTCGAGGTCTATAAAAGCAAAAATAACAGAAAATTTGACAGTTCTAAACAATTTCACATCAAAAAACACGTATATACATATAAAATTTACTTTCAGCTTTAACCTTTATAAACTATTAATCTCAATCGATCTGTAATATTATGTTAGTGAAAATTCTTAATATATGTTGTAAATGCGCCTTATTTATTAAAAGTTCTTCCATTTCGTTTGCTGTACATATGAAATCATGGAGTGAATATTTATTCTCCTTTTCCCGGCAAACGAAAGACATTTTTTGCGGAGCCTCAGAAAATCTGTACACACTTAGGCCGTCTTTTTACAAAAACTAATATTTGAATAAATTATATGCTTATATTGACGTGACAATGGCAGTTTTCCTTTTCGGGCGAGCTAACCGATTGAAAAGGAACTCTTCTGAAACGGAATACCGGACAGGGTCTCTTTGACCCGCGAAGCAATTTGAAATTTTCATCACTTCAAAGCCGCTAAAGGGATCGAAATTTCACGACTGACTAATAGGCAATTTCTTTCGAAAAATTACATAGCGTGTTCCCTTGGAATCCCCCTTTCAAATATCTTTACGGGAAGTTTAAATGAACATTTATTTCGCAACCGCTTCATGTAAAAGGAGTTAAAATTCGAAACTGATGAGATTTAACCGTTGGTATTTTCTTTTTTACGTAAGTATATACAAGCGCATTATAATTTTCAGCAGAATAAGCAGAGAAAAATGTATTTTAATTTGAGCGGGTGAAATGTAACAAAGTGACTAAGCCATCAATACGACCAAACTGACAGAGAGTGACCTGCTAATATGTAGACGCTAGGAAAGCAAGACCAGTGACACACCAGAAAGCAACTACTCTACTGACTAATGCTGTAAGCTTTGCGGAATATCTAGCAAATAGCTTTTAAATATCACAATAGGTGTCAAAGAATTCTATTTACGAAAACTATTTTGGCCACAATTTATCTACTGTTCAAATATCCTTGTCAAATTTGGAAACACACTGTACTGTCCGGATCTAACACCATTTCATTTATTTTTGACAGTTTTGTAGTCAGGACTCTACAGATTATAATGTAGTTCGACTCAAACCTTTTTAATAGTGTTAATACGTTATGTTTATAATGTTGGTAGCTTAAATCAACCGATAAGTATCCTTTTATTAAACGAAATAATACTCTAAATCGGATCACTAGTTTCAAGATCAGCAAATTTGTCTTATTCCTGTTGCATCCGGCAAGTGGATTGCATTTCGTAAGACGTTAAGGCTCTTTGTGGCTATAGTCGAGCTTCTGATTCTCATCCTCAGTGCTACATAACCACGTATTTAGTGGTTTTCGTACCCCACACTGTTAGTTGGATCATTAGTCGGTAAATTTCCAAACTAATACACTAGGCACAGAAATTAAGGGAAATTAAAAGAATCTCAAAATTTTTGGGTGATTTTCAAAGAGCTGTAACTTGGAGGGAGAGAGAATAGAAAACGCGAAAATTGAAGCTTCAAGTGTCTAATTTTCGGATCTTGAGTTTAAAATTTTTTAGCATCAATAGTTTTTGAGTAATCATAAGAAAATCAACAAACAAAAATTGCAAATTTTTGCTTTTTTTTTAAAGAGGCCTATGGACTTCAAATTTTTTTTGTAATTTCACCATAAAGCTCTTTTAGATAATTTAATTCTCTTCAATTTGAGCGGTTCCGGAGCCCTGTGGGATCATTTGTCGCTGATTTATCGTCGATCAAAGCAAAAAATCATGTTTGACTTTGATAATCAATTACTCGGGAAATAATGGTGGTACAGAAATTGCAAGCAGGGTTTTGAAAACTGCAAAGTATTCTCTACAAGTCGTAATTATTGGTTTTTGATAAAAAAAAATTTCGAAGTGAAAATGTTGGTTAGAAAAAAGGTAAAAAATTGCATAGGGATATTTGAATAACTTCTATCTTTTTAATATCCATTAAATTGTGTGCCTAGTGTATAATCTTATAATCGTTTACTTATATTTTTTTATATTAATGATATCATTTAAAGAAAAAATACTTTCAACAGGATACCAAAACTTGAGTAGGTACTTGATTGCAGCGACTGATAAATAAATTAACACTTCATTGCAACAAATCAAGCTATCAAAAAGAAGATGAAGAATTACAGTTAAAACTATACGATACTTTTCTATTTTGTCACAACATTTTTATATAATTTATATCCACTTTGCATGTATATATTGGGAATTCTCGACATATATGGACTGTCCCTGAAGATATGTGACCCACTCGAGGTCTAATTACTTAAGGAACACAAACAAAACAAGACTTATTTCATTGCCATTCTCAAGCATCCCCTTGGAACTAGTTAAACTCTTCTAGAGTTCCCAGAAGGTTAAACTAAGTGAGATGTATTGAAGCTTCGAGTTTAGTTTCGTGCTATTGACTTAGAACACACCCAGTTGCAATTACTTCTGCCCTATTTTTATCTCTATATTTGAAATTAACTGATGTCCTCGTAACGAATTGGCTTTCCAGTTAATTACAGTCGATATTAAAAATAAATATTTTTGCGTAGTAAATACCCGTCGTTTTACAGATTGTTTTCGATAGCCGATGTTAAAAGCTACCTATGGATTTAGCTTCAACGAGGGGAAAATGTAAAGTAAACAAGTATTAAATGAACTTGAGCAGTAAGGGATACTATTGTATGGTGCTTATATTTGAATTTTATTTAGCAACCAGAAGCTTGGGGTAAATTATTTTATGGAATACTTCCAATTCCGAATCTTAACAGATTTCTTTCTTCAATAATTTTGGAGATTAAGTGCCAGCTTTTCAAGCTGGCTATATTCTGTGCATTTAAAGTTTCTATTTTGTTAACAAACATCAAGTAATCGCTTTGAAACAAAAACTATAAAGTAAAAAAGAACAGTTGATGAAAGGAAATGAAGATCATTGAAACGAAGCAAATTGGACCTGTGAAAATATGACAGTGAAGTTTATTAAACTTGTGCTACATTTTTCATCTCATTCCCTTTGTATTATTTCTAGTCATTTCCACAAACGTGTTCATAATAAAAATTAAAATGCGCAGAATATTCCGGAATCATTTCATTCGCTGCAACACTACGTGTGCAGCATGCAGTATACGGATATAATTATATTTCATGCATTAGCAAATTTATCGACTGGACTGCCGATGTGTATAATCGAAATATTTTTATAAATTCCTCCAAATGCGGTCCTATTGAGCTCCATGTTATAATCCCCGGCATCATCTCGAACCCTAATTATCGGATTTATTGCAGGCTGAATTCAATCAACGCTCACCTTTGATACCTAAATTAACCCTGATGGTTCAATCGCCGGCTATAATGGACACTGCATTAGAGCGTGGCTCTTTTATTTCCAGCTAAATTAAAGTTCCTTTTCGAAGTTTTCATTTTATGCGCTTTGTGGCGCTGTGTCAGCAGGAGTTTTTTATCGAACCCCCGCCTCGCTTGGCTTCAGAAAGAATTATTTTTGTTTAAGCAAAATTAATTAGATCATATGACCATAGAGATCGTATGATTCTCCAGACTTTTGAATTTTTTATCTCAGTAAATATGTCTGCGTAAAATTAATTGGATTGTCAATGAAACTGGAGCAGAGTCTCAAAGATGCGGCCTAGTGACTTGGCATTTATAGACTGCAAGCCCATCGGAAATTTTCAAGGGGTCATTTGACCCAGCATGAATTACTTATAAATCAATACTACGACATATAACAATAACTTTAAAAACTGTGCCGTCAATTCTTGTTGGTACAGGTGAGTACACAGGTGAGCTAAACCTGTCCACCAAGGGAGGGGTGGTTTTCGGCAAAACATTTTTGTACGACATTTCTAAAGTTATACAAAAAAATATTAACCTCGACCTAATGCCGTACAAGAATAGCAATACCGGAAGCCAGGAAAATTTTTACCCGGTTTTTGGTGATTTACTGCAATATGGCATTTATACTGCAAGTTTCGGATTGACGAACGAAATTGATTAAAAGTTGATACCCCCAAGATTGGTGTAGTCCTCGATGTGCGAAAAAATAGTGCGTATTATCCTAAACTTTCTTACGAAGCTAACAACTGTGAAAAAAACAGTTTTTTTTAAACTCTATCTTTGATTCAAAGGAACCAACCAACAGTTTTTCTCAAAACTAACAATAATTTTTGTAATTCTAGTAAAAAAAATTAATCAAAAGTTTTTGTAGACTTCAATTTTTTTAATTTTTGTCATGCCTAGACGGCATTTTATCATTTTTATTTTATTTATCAACTTTTAATCAATTTCGTTAATTCAAAATAAAGGAAATTACGGTACGGAAAGAGTACATCGCTTCAAAAATGACTCAATATTTTTATCTTGAGTTGTTAAACAAATAAAAAAGTAAATTTTCAAAAATTAAAAAAAGTTTTTTTTTCAAAAATTATTATTTTTTTCAAATTCAATGAGCAAAAAATGCCCAATTGTGAAAGAATTGAAAAAAAACTAATTTTTCATTTTTACGAACGTTACAGGATGCTCAGAAATGTAAATTTTGCTCCGTTAAATTTTTCTGAAATTTTGATTAAGCGGTCCGGAAAAACCGATCTGCCCATTTACGGAGCTTTTGGGGGTACATCGAGGTGTAAAAATTCGTACAAGCATTAGACTCTCCATCGATATTAGCAAAGATGCGGTCGACTTAGCAAAACAAGTCAAAAAGTCACTTTTTTTCACTTTTTTCAAGTTAATGTCGAGGATGAAAAAAATTTTTTTCTTCCAAGAACGCTACATTGCCTTGTAGGATTTTATTCGAAATTTCGAAACTGCCAGTCAATTTTCTGTTTGATCATTAGTTGCTGAGATATCGATGGTTAAAGCCAAAAGGATGCTTTTATATTCGTAGTCGAATATCTTCGGGTCAAATTAACGTAGAGAAAAATTTAAAAAAGAAATTAAAGCTGAATGAACAGGCTGTTAAGTCCATATCATGATTTTTGTGTAAAAAATGTTTTCCAGCCCGTGGACAGAGAAAAAAACGCAAAAAAATTAAAAAAAAATTTTTTAGTCTTATTTCTTAGAATTTCGCGATGACTGTCGCTTCTAAAAATTTTGAGCTACGAAATCTGGAAACTAGACATTCGGCGCTTTAAAATGCTTTTTTTAAAATCTTGATACGATCATTTTTAACTGAGATACAGCATTCTGAAAAATCACTAAAAATTCGAAAAATTTTTTTGCTCCCTTAATTTTTTGCAGAAGTTTAT